ACTCAGCACTTCCGTCTTTCAAATTCATTATATAAACAGTCAATAAGTATTTGGGTGGCAGTATTTGAAAACAAGTTAATTGTCAGTAATAGTCATTGAATATGTATAAATTAAGTGAATTGGGAGTCCAGATACAACCAATTTTATTTATTGCTGAATGCAAGTGAGTGACTAGGATTCCAAACACGTAGTACATCCGCAAGTATCTATGTGCATAGTCGTACACTATAGATCATTATACATAAAGCTTTAAAACTTTTGAATTAATAAGTCTCAGGGATGTGCCGCGAATTCAACTTGGTTCAAATTTAGAGTCAAGGTGGCGTTTTGAATGCTTTTAACCTATATGGGCTGAGGTGATGTAGTGATAAGGGGCGCACTATCACGCATATATAGCCCCGTGTTCGAATTCCGTCTCGATATTTCCTCAGTTCTACCGAGCCTTCTGTCCCTGCAAGGTCGATTAGTTGGTACCAGACTCGTCTGGAATGATAAAAGCACTGACTTGTACATCAGCAGGCCACAGCAAGTCATTGAATAGGCCACATACGCATTCAATACGCCACTATGATTCTGAATGAAAGTCGAATGCGTGGCTGGTTCTTTAGACGGGATAGATCAGCGCCCAGGGATCTTATCCTTCGCGTTTTCTATGGTTCTTCACAGTGATTAGCGATGCCAGCCGGTGTACAAGCCACTATCTTTATCCTCCCACGTGAGCCTGCTACCAAGACGTAGGATGGATAAAAGCCTTGGCTGGCGTGGAAAATTTCACCCAGGATTCGATTCCCGGATCGATTCTATGTGTACATGAATATTGTAGCAAGGATGAGGGGAAGTGGAGCTAGTCGTTGCTGGTGATCAATGAGATCGTTATTGGAGAGTTTTAATGATCATTCCATTCAGCAACCTGATCGGCAAGGGTTGGGGGGCATCCCAAGAATTCACATCAAAAGCGAGATCGAATGAAGAATCAACCAAAAGGCCACTCAAGAAGTGTTTCAACCCTCACAGTCAAGTGCAGCATCATGAAGTTGCTCTAAAGGACATAAAGGGTACAGTAGGTAGGGAGACCTTCGGGGGGACGTAGGACAAGTTGTAATAGTCCCATCTACCGTTTGATTCTGCCCTTTCGCTCTCAACCTTTGTAGGGAATGAAATCAGAGGGTGAGATAGGGTAAAGTCGTATTTTGAGACTGACAGGGAGGAGGTTGAAAACATTCCGAGAAGGAAATTGCATCATCGCTTTGCATGACCGTGAGCGAGCATGTCCATGAGTAACTAGTAATGAATTAGAACCCCGGAATTTCAGAACATCTGACCTTTACCACGTTTTTTCCGAGCGATTTTTATTCATTTTTAACAAGATTCCAACTATGCTACTCAGGAAATGTAACCTTCTCTACACCTAGATGATGGTGACATCCATTCATAGACACTTCCAATATGGTTCGACCCAAGTGGAAGTTTTAGAATTCATTCTGCAGGGGAAGATACTGATTCAAAGGGATGTGCGTGGTCTTTTCGTTGATCTCATTGCTTCTTGAACAATCTCTGACAACCTTTTGCAGGGTTTGGAGTTTCTGCAAGGGTGTTTGCCGAACTTCCAAGGAAAAGCAGTGTGAAGTGTGTCTGTGACGTAGTTACGGGGTGGTCGTCGATTGCCGATTGGCCTATTAAGATACCTCTTGGTATGAGTCATTCCCCGCTGCAAGTGCTTTTGCAATTCCAAAGGTTTTTTTCGCCATGCAAGGCGGGGAATGTGGTTGTTCGTCGAATACGTCGCTCCGCTCATCAGCCGATCTATAAAACGTCACTTCTGTCCGTTTCGGTTTCGTCGTGACACTACGCGAATAGACATCGCAGACATTAAGGCGGCCCATGCATGTACCTTGTCAACAGGCTTACGATATCCTCCCGATGGGTAGAATCGGCGGCTGTTCGCTGCTATATCAGGTCACCTGCACTTATCACCTCCCTGGGTGGAGTCCGATTTTGACGTAGACAGTNTCGAAAACAATCGGTGTAATAATGGTTCCTCCAGACAGCGGGTTGTGCCCATCTCAGTTCTTCGGCAGCCATCTTCTGTTCGGCTGCGTCAGCTCCCATGTTCTATCGTAATAAATGCTGAATCGTCAGCTAGTTTGTGAATGATTTCTAGCTTACAGTTACTATTTTGTTACTCTTTTCTTATGGAATTGTTGTTTTTTGAAATTTTCATCTTGAAATATTGGAGATTTTGAGCAGGTGCTAGTGGTCCATTGCAGGATCTACCAGTATTGCTGATGAGCTCCATGGATTGAGTTCCATTGCAACAGGAGAAGCTTCTTTTTCCAGATTCCCTTAAATAGTTCGCAAATGCGCTATTGGCCCTTCCCCACTCACTTTTCAAAGTTTGGCTTAGTTCTTCAAGTTTTCTCCATCTGATGTCCCATTAATATGGCAAGAAGTCAGTTGTTACAATAACTTGACGCCATTTTCCTACCCAAGAGACTACAGAAGGCCCTTGGACTCTGAGATTTACTAAAATTATGATTTCCCATCATAATATTCATGTTCGACTGGGTAAGGTGTCCCCGAAGTGTCCCTGAAGACGGGTTCCCGACAAAATCAACTTTTCAAATGCAAAAGCTGAGACAAATCCTGCATGAAATTCGAAATTCGTGATTGCAAAAAGTCAATATCACTGAGTTCCACAGGTTTTTTGAGACCTCCCATACCCATAGGCCTGATGGCGTTCAAGTGTCACATCATTTCCGTTGTTCTTCAACTAGGAATTCGCCTTATAGCTGTGCTATCTGGTCAAACCGGTATTTCGCCAACAACCACGATTACCACTGTCAAGAACATCAGTCAGTCATAATTGCTGCTGTATAATGCCACGTTCGACTACATTCACTTTCTTGGATTTGAAGACATTCATTCTTTTCATTCCCATGGAAAGGCCTTCCAGTGGATTCTGAAGACAGCCTCATAATGATGGCTCTGCTCCGCTGCTATCCACGTAACTTCTGACTTTGTCTTTCATCGTAATCCTTCTATTTTCTNGTCAAGAACATCAGTCAGTCATAATTGCTGCTGTATAATGCCACGTTCGACTACATTCACTTTCTTGGCTTTGAGGACATTCATTCTTTTCATTCTCATGGAACGACCCTCCAGTGGAGTCTGAAGACAGCCTCATAATGATGGCTCTGCTCCGCTGCTATCCACGTAACTTCTGACTTTGTCTTTCATCGTAATCCTTCTATTTTCTCGTCCGAGTTGCTTCTTTCGGTGTCACTACCTACGAATTTTTCAAATATGTTTACATATTTCCTGAACACTTCTTTTCGACCCACCCTACTAGCGGTGGAGGAGATAAGGGAGATGATGTCGATTTGAAGATTCCACTGACTATTGAAGATTTGAGCAAACTCACTCGAATTTTTGTAGATTCGTTACCCTACACCCTCCCTCCCTCTCTCCTACTTTCTGAGACGAGATGGATTTCAAAGTCTCATGAATGTGTGGCACAGTAACCTCCACAACTTCCCCCCCTCCCCCAAGTATTAGGAGGTACGTTAGTGTGAGTGAGGGGCAAAACATGTACACAAGGCACTCCAGAACACCGCAATTCGAAAATGCCTGTGAGCTATTCCCCTTCAGGCACTTATTTTATTTGAAAAGTCGCCTCTTCAATGATTCGCTTCTACTCGATGGTGATTTTCTGCGCAGTTGTCTCTCGTGAAGTCGGATACCTGTCCCCGGTCCACTCGAGTCTACCAAAGTCTCAAGCAGGTCTATAAATCACATTTTGCGCATTCAAGTGTTCGAAATCGGCAAATTTGGCCAATTATGTCAGCTCGTGACCAAGGGCCAGCGTTGTGTTGCTCGAGTTCCTCCGACAGGATGACTCATTTATTTTTTCTTCAATCCGTGCTACTCCTATACCTACCCAAGGCATCGTCGAATCGCTCAAAGGATTGGGGAGGGTTAAGGGAGTCTCCGGAAACTTCATCACAGAAGTCTTCATGGAATCTATCAGCTACCTATCTATTAGCTTGGTATCCAGCACGATCCTTCACAATGTTGGTGAGGGCGGCCTCCCCAATCTCAGGAGGACATTTTCTAACCACTCTATCTGAACAATCGTAAAAGAATTAATCATTGTTTCGAGAATAATTTCTATGTTCTCCTATGTCAAATCCACTCTGATGAAATAACGGGGGCAACCTACCGTTCCCAGAGGCTGGAGAGATCTTTCTGGAACCAGTTTTTCTACGTCACCCGGCTATTTTTCTGTGACTCTCAAGTTTTTCACTGTCTTTTTCAAAGGTGTCGATGAAATATCTGTATCTGTACCGTTATGTTCTTTGAAACATCAGTGATAAGGCCGGTCATCTTACGGTATTTCCTGGGTTGCCTACACTTTTCGTTTCAGGTAAAAATGCTGGGGATGATGAATTCACCCGCGGACACCGTGGAGTTCTATGCAGCGAGGAGAAGCAGTGGAAGGGATGAGGGAGATGATGACGATTTGAAAGTTTTTACCGAAGTGAAGCAAAAACGAAGTGTTACCTACATGCAAGGTTGGGTCACCTCTCCAATATTTTATGTCATTTTCTGATTTTTTTTTTTGAATTTTAGCTCTTTAATTGCGTTTCTATGCTCTTTTGTTGGAAAGTGGCCTTGTACGCTTGAATGACCCCATAATGGTAAAGAGAAATTCGAGCAGCATTAAAAAGTCGTGTATATGAGGATGTTGTGACAGTGGGTATCCTCCTTTTGGGTACGGTGTAACTCCAGGTGAAGCACTTCGATTAAACAACACCAATCATTCCCTTTTACTTACTACGTACATAGTTGTTTCCGCATGCATCAAATCGATCAGCACGTGACTTGATCAGCAGGTTGTAGAAAACAACAAAAACAAACATCCAAGCAGTTTTCTGTAAACCAATGAAGCCCCTCGTATCGATTAATTGAGAAAAACCATACTGTAAAGTAAGGTAAATTGTTGCGATACTCCTGTGTAGGTCCCCTAGACGTAGAATCATCAGTATAGCTTCCTAGAAAAGGCGCCTTAGATTTATAGCCAATCCACATGCCACATAGAATCCACATCGCTATAGATTCCTAGAGAAGTTTCCCCTGGATCCCAGATTTATAGCCTTGGATTCAGAATTCGTCCTTCTTTTTTGTCACAGTGCCCACCCACGATTGAATCTTGACGTTGAATCTGAAGACTTATCTCGATTCATTTTGTCTAAGGTAGGTGGAATAAAAGGGGAACAGATTGATATTACTACCTCGATTTCCCAACACCCTCGACTCTTTGATACATACTTTCTCATGACCTTGAACCTGGCTCTCTGTAACGTTATCGTAGACCTTCAACATCTCTCTAAGGTTCGGGAGTAATTTCCTCGCGCCTGAATTTAGGTAAGTCTAGTGGGGTCCAGAGGATACCACGGGATTCGATCTTCCGACCACGCTTGTAAAAGTACGCTCTTTGGCCCTTTAATAACTCCGATCTTCGATAACAGGCCAGTACCCATAGCTATCATAACCCATAGCCCAATTGGCGAACGTGATGTCGGTTTGACTGATCTCTCTTAGACAATATATGTAATGATAAACCTGTGTATTTTAAGTAAAATAAAAGTCTTTGGGTGTTAAACAATCCCGTTCGAGGGATGCGCCCACGTGGGGTGAGAGAGATGAGGGGGGGGGGGGGGGG